CCCTGAGTTCAATCTGAGGTACCACCCCCCCAAAAAAATAATAAAATGAAAAAAAGAATTGTTTTTTACCATGTATGACTTCTTTTATAACACACATATGTACACATTATTATTATTAAATATTTATTCTTAAGTTTTAGGTGGACACAGTATCTTTATTTTACATTTATGTGGTGCTGAGGATTGAATCTGGTGTCTTGTGCATGTTAGGTGAGCACTCTACCACTGAGCCACAACCCCAGCCCGATTATTATTATTATTATTATTATTTTGTACCAAGGATTAAACTCAGGGGCACTTGACCACTGAGCCACATCCCCAGCCCATTTTGTATTTTATCTAGAGACAGGGTCTCACTGAGTTGCTTAGCACCTCTCCATTGCTGAGGCAGGCTTTGAACTCACCATCCTCCTGCCTTAGCCTCCTGAGCTGCTGGTATTATAGGCGTGTACCACCATGTCCACCCCACAGTTATTATTTACCCAATTTCCTCCCTTACTAAAATGCAAGTTCCTTTAAGAGCAGGGACTTCATTTTATTTATTTTCTATCACTAGCAACTATTTGTTGTGTCTAGCAATCACATTGTCCACAATAAATAAAACTAAAAGCAGGGATAAAAAGATTTATAACCTTTCAAGGAGCAATAAGACAAATAGCTGACTTTTGAAAGCTAAACAGAATGACATCTTATGAGAGCTACAAGAAAATATCTGCAAATCAAGAATCCTATACACAGAATAAAACTTTCAAAAATGAAGGAAAAATAAAGACATTTTCAGATGCACAATGGAGGGAATTCATTACCAGCACAGAATTCTTCAGGCAGAAAGAAAATCACAGAAATGAAGAAAGGAATGATGAACATCATAAAGAGTAAACATTTGGGTATATATAATATATACTAACTGTGTGAAAAATTTATCACAATGTCACAAGAGGCTTAAATATTCATAAAATTAAAATGCATGATAGCAATAATCTAAAAGGTAGGAGGGTATACATGAAAATAAAATGTCCTAAGATTCTAGTACAGATGATCCTCAAATTACAATTGTTTTAACTTAGGACTTTTCAACTTGACTATGGTATAAAAGCAATAAGCATTCACTAGAAACTATACTTTGAATTTTCATCTTTTCCCAGGCTAGCAATATGTGATATTCTTTTGCAATGCTGGACAGCAGCAAGGAGCTGTAATTTGCAATCAGTGACACAAACAGGGGAAACAACAGGTATTCTACAGTGCACTATGTTGCTAAGCAATGATATTTGCTAGCTTAAGTGTATTAAATGTAATTTGGGCCTCAATATATTTTACTTACAATGGGTTTATTGGAACATAACCAAATTATTAGTCAAGAAGAATCTGTATTATTGATTAAAAAAAAAGATGCCAACACTAGCTAAAAAGATAAGACTTCTAAATTCATTAAGCTTAATATCTAATTTGAACAGTACAAATTTATACAAAATTCAAGATGAGGTCATGAACTCTTGGAAAAAAATCATATTATTAAGATTTATAATATATTTTAGCAGTTGATGCCCAGGGTAAACCAATTCACACAAACACTCTCTCTCATCAGAGAAGGTTTCAGTGCCTAAAAGTAATGAGCAACATTTAATGCACATACAGAGGAGGAAGGGACCATAAAGGTTGGGGAAAGGAAAATGAGTAAAAGAAACAAATCAGTAACCCAGGAGAGTTCAGAGTTTCAGGGAGAAAGAGAAGTATCAAGAAATAATCTGTTGGATGCAGCAATGAGGAGATCGCTGGAGAGGTAGAATTGGACACCAGTCTGCAGTGGGTTTGACTGGGGAAGGTGAAGAAATGATATTAGACCATTCTTTTAAGACCTCTAACTATTGCCAGGTGCATGCCTATAATTCCAGCAGCTCAGGATCAAAGCCAGCCTCAGCAACTTGGTGAGGTCCTAAGCAACTTAGTGAGATCCTGTCACAGAATAAAAAATAAAAAGGGCTGGGGATGTGGCTCAGAGGTTCATTGCCCCTGGGTTCAATCCCCAGTAACACACACATAAAAAAGAAGAAAGAAGTCTAGCTATTAAAGGAAGTATGTAGAATAGTTTCTATAGCAAGATATAGGATCGAGTAGGGTTTTTTTTTTCCTTTCTGAAAATGAGAGTAACTTTAAACATGAGTATTTGTATCCTAAGAGAAAAGAGCCAGGTGACATGAAAAGACTGATGATCCAGAAAAGTCTATGAGTAAGTTGCAGCTCTGAATAGGAAGAGGGTTTTTTTTTCTTCATAGAAGAAGAAAGGAGGCTAATGCTTAGAGTTGAGAAGTTTGTATATAAGAATAAGAAGTGGGGTTTTTACCTAATAGCTAGGAGGAGGTGATTCATTTTAATTATATTTTTACAAAAGAATTGGTGTGTGATATATTGGGAGGAATTAACATTATACCACGATTAGGCTAGAGCATGGCAAAAAGGTGGGATGGGAGTGAAGACAGGAGAAAAGCCAAAGTGGACTAATAACTATGACACTATGGATGGTCTGTATTTGAGAACAGAGGGATTGCATGAGCAGATATTGAGACATGGGATAAAGAGATAACAAACAATGTGAACCAGATGTCAAAGTCTTAAAGAAAAGGCCATAATGAAGGCAGTAATGGCAAGGAGGAGTGGAAAAGGGTGATATGATAGTGATTATTCATTCTGATCAAGTATTATAAATTGCTACAAAGAACAATAAATTACATTCCATTTTCAATGAGTGAATTCTTTGTCAGATTTCATTAGAAAGAAATCCTACCCAGCTATAAAACTTAATAATATTCTCCTGAGGTCATCAGAATAGAGAATAGAGATATCCCTCCCCATCTACAACTTTCTGTCATGCAGTATTCTAGCACAATACCTTTTCAGCAACTGTGCGCATTTCAGTTCCGGTATATGCAAATTTGGAGTCACTCCTACTGGGGATAAATTAGGGGAAAAAAAAGAAACTAAGGTTTGGAATAGAAAATGGAAGTTAAAGCAAAATAACAGGATTAACAGTTTTTGCAGTGCGACCTTAGTAGAAACAAAAGAGGAGGGAAAGTAAACTGAGCTGAAGATTTCTAACTATTAAAGAGGTGGGCTGGGGTTGTGGGTCAGTGGTAGAGGGCTAGCTTAGCATATGTGAGGCACTGGGTTGATCCTCAGCACTGCATATAAATAAATAAAAACAAAGGTCTATCAATAACTAATATTATATATATATGAGGTGGGCTTGAGAAATACATTAAACTATACTTTGAAGTTTATGCAAAAGTTACCCAAAGATTGACTACCACAAGCATTCAAGCTATTATAGATCTTTGGGATCACTGTAGGGGCCACCAAGGAGAAGGCCACTGACCATTTACACGGAGGGGAATTTGGATTAACAGGGGGAAAGTCCTAAATGCATAAAATATCAGATAAAAGAAAAATACTGGCATGTTACTGGCATTGCAGAAAAAATAGCAAATGAAAACACATCAAGCAAGAAAATGAAAAATAATAGTACCAAATGTAAATGTACTGGTAGTGTTGTTAGTATGCTGCCTTTATTGCAGTTAATAAGGTTGTATTTACGAGTGCTTTCATAGATTCACTTATGATTTTGGTTCCTCCACTATGTCTTTCACATAAAGGCATATACATCTCAACTGAAAATCCTTCTAGTAAGAAATAAGGCAGAAATGAACCTTCAGAGTTGGGGTGGAACTCAAAGTGTATCACTGATAGAGTTCCAGACTCATAAAGGTAATTTAAGATCCAATCAACATACAATACTGCCAAACCTGTCATAATTTTTATTTAAGAATGCCTTAGAGATATTAAAATATGAGGAAACAAAAGGTCTTACCTTGTGTCATCATTCAACTAGAGTGGAAAAGAGCAGAAAATATTATTGATCACATTATGCTTATTTGATTACAGGGATGCAGATTATATGAAAATTAGGTCATGTGTTCATACATATCAACAAGAAAGACTGGAGAATTTAGAGAATAAACAGCTGAATTGTATTTCCTCATCCACTTTCTCCCCTCTGCAACACAAAGAAAACTTTCGAGTCTCTGAAAGGGTTTCTTCTTTCTTAGGATCTTTGCGACGCTTTAAAAAGCTTTCTCACTTTCTCGGTACCTCCACTTCTCTAGAAGGAAGGCTGGTGGCAAAGCAAGGGGCTCTAACCCTGGTCTGCAGGTCTGCTTCATATACTTTGTAGCCTTCATCCTACTCAAATGTATTTCTGGTCTGACTTGCAATTTTGGGCAATGGGTGATAATCTCTGAAGCAAGTCCCCAACCCCGTGGGTTTATGCAAATCGCTGAGGGCTTGCAGGAGGATGAGCAAGTGTCATGCGACAAGAAGAAAAGGCCACCGCGATTGAGCCACCTAAAAAATGTCCAAAAATCTAAGTCAGAGGTTCCTGTGGCCTACCAGTCGCCTCAGGGAGTACTGGGGACTGCTAGCAGGGTTCCAGCTAGGCAGAATGACCTACTCACCTCCCCTATACACAGTCCCATCACCTCCTCCTTTTCTGTGCTCAGAGCGTGGTTGAGACAAACTAGGAAAGCGTCAGACTCGAGATGAACCGCCTGCACCGCCTGTACCACCTGCACCGCCATCTTGATCCGACCCTGTTCACGTCCGCTCGGGCCCACTCTGGCCTGACCAACCGGGTGCTCCAGCACAGCTTCTCCAGCACCCGGCGCTCTGAGCTCCTCCCAGGCCTGGCCTTCCGCGCGCGGGTTCCGCGGGGGCGGAGCTTGGGGGCGCGCGCGGGGGAGGGCTGTGGGGGCGGGACTGCTGGTGGTTGCCTGGGGGCGGAGCTTGGTGCGGAGGCGGGGCCTGCCCAGCAGCACCTGGGAAACGCCCGCGCCAGTTGGGGCAGGCGTGGCCACTGGGGCTAAGGGCGGTGGCTGGCGGAGGTCGCGGTATCAGGCCCGCGGCGGGGGCGGCAGGGAGGCGGCGCTCTCCATCCTCAGGCGGAGTGGTCTGTGAGCGGCGCCCGGGCGCCTGGGCAGGCGCTTCTAGAGCGCCGGCGCCCATTTTGCCCGCCCGCTGAGGAGCGCGGTGCGCGGCCTACACGCTTTGGGGACAGCCCTTTGAGGCGACATCTCCGCGAACGCCGGCCTCTTGAGCCAGAGGGACGCTCTTTTGAAAGTCGGTCCTAAAACAGTTAAGGTTTTGTTTTATTTTATTTCCAAGTCACAGCCCATGAATCTGGTACAACTCTCCCTGGACCACTTCCGGTTGCCGGCCAGCGCCTTGCAACTTCAGTTTTAGTGACCTCGGTTGGGGTTACCCCTCGGCTTTTCCCGGGCTCACGTCACGATCTTGGTTCGAGTGGCCCAGGGTGGGAGACCTGGAAGTTTTAGCCTAGCTGTTCTCGTGGCGGAGAAATTAGCACAAGAAACGTTATATTCATGTGAGTAACCTTTTGCAGAAACAGTGCTATACTGTATCTGAAAAAGTATCACTCTTGAGCTTGGCTGCTGCTACTTTTCACAAAAGCTTTTAGGTATCTATTTGTTTGATACGGGGAAGAGGAATTAGGGGACTTCAGGTTTTATTCACGTTCGAATATATCACATCAGATATCCAGAAAACAAGTTTCCTCAGATCTTGTCTCAATGGTACCAGACATTGTAAAATTACATTATGAAAGTATTTTTATTTTGCGGTATGTCATCATGCCAGGGTTAAAAGTACAGATCTTCCAAGTCACAAGTTTACAAATTATACAGGATTTTAGGAACGATTCTATATAAAAGAAAATTACATGCCAGGTTGCCTCCAGAGTCCATCCGCGTTTATGTTTCTGATTTGATTTTCTATTTCTTGTGTATTTCTGTAGACAGGCACAGTACTGGAAAGGGAACATTCCCAAGTGCTACTTGAAGAACTGTTGATGCTATGCTCTTTTCTCCCAAGTCAGTTCCAACCCAAGACTCCCAACAAATAGGGCTCCAAATCAGTGAACTAGCTGTAATGTACATACCAGCAACCTCCATTTTTTACCTAATGCTTAAAGATCACATGGCACAGCTTTCCGTGATAAATTTTGATAATAATGAAGGTTGGAAAATTTTCCAACTGTACGATTACATTGGATCTATCAACATTTTCTCTTAAGTTTTCATTTTATGTTATATATTATTTTCAGTTACTGTGTATGGCTAGTGCACCCTGTCCTGATGGGACAGCAACAGCTATTCTTCTCGTTATTGTTTGTTCAGATGGGATATTTTGAATTTATAAAGTTTATTTAGGCATCTTCAAAGAGAAAAACATGTCTTTTTGTTGTGGGTGTCAATCTCATAACAGAATGACATTGACTAACTTTTATAATTCTTATGGCTACCTTTTACACCTCCAAACTTTTAATGGAGTGCAAAAAAACTATTAACATTTATAGCAAATTTATTATGTGCTAGACATAATTTTCATCCTACACCTCAGGAAATTGAGATGGAGAGAAGTTAACTTGTCCACGGTCACAAAGCTTATGACTTACAGAACCACAGATCATATACAGGTCAGGCTGATTTGAGGGATTATTGATGATTTCACCCAATGTTATTGGATGAGTTTATTAAAAGACTTCAAATAAAATATACATATTCAACTGATTAATGTTTAAAAACTGTTCAAACATCTGAAAATGTAAACAAATTATATTTTTATAAAAGGCACAAAACAGTTATTCTATAAAGGAAAAAAAGTGATGGTTTTACTTAGATCACTACCTAAGGAAGCTCTTCTAGATTATATATTATCCATTTAGAACCTAATTTACAAAATGCCTAAAAATAATCTGTCTAGGCCAATATGGTCTCTGGTATCAATGTAACCTCCTTGGGGAAAATCTGTTTTAGTGGATAACATAGCTATAAATATATCTAAACATTTTAAATACTTTTTTATTTGCAGATGGTTATATTGCTTGAATTGAATTGCAAAGGTTTATATTTTCTGTATTGTTTTGTACCTTGTACCTAAGTTTATCTTGAAGTTTTAACCATTTTTAGTTCAAGGACTCCTAAATTTTGTGAACAAGGATCAATGCAAAACCCCAAAAATCATTAGTCAAATAAATTTGGGAAATATTAAACAGCATAGTTTTTTTTACTACATAACTTGCTGGAGCTTTTGCTGTGGTAGTATCACTCTCCAATATTCCCAAAATTATTTGACTAAGGAAAATGTTGAGAACAAGTGTTCCAAGAATCATGTTTAAGGAAATGGTGTTCCATTCATACAGCTTGTCATTTTTATAGGCTTTGATCTGATTCCTCTTGCTCAGCCTTTGCATTTCTCTACTGAGAATGTTGTTCATTCCTGGTTATGGTGGCTTCTCTGTCCCTTGATCACTGCTGTTGTCATTCTCTGAGTCACCATGCTTTCTGATTGGTAGCAAGCCCAAGTTCAGGGTAATGTTCTGAGGTTTGTTTCCAGGCTTATCTTGCCCAGTGCCCAGCATGTTAACCTCTGGGTCAAAGCAACACAGCACATTGCCTTTCTTCTGAGAATATTTTGAGTAACTCATAAGAACCCTTTGTAGTGATTCATAGTAACTCAAAACATCATCTCCAATTTGTTTACCCTCTCTGCCACTGTAATTATTTTACTTTATGTAGTATATCCAATATAAATTTGTTTTCATTCAAAAGAAATTTAAACATTAATGTGTTGTTGTGATAGGATCTATGAAGTTGATATGGTCCTGAAACCCTTAACACTTGGCTTCTAGTTTAAAAAATATTGGCAACAATTATGTTTTTTTTTTGTGTGTGTGTGTGTGCTCAAAATCAAGGTTTTAACTTTTTATTTTGAAAATAGCATATACTGGATATTGTTTGTGACTTTTCTTTCCAAAGCTCTGGGAAAGAGAAGCAGAATGATTGTTATCTGCTATATGGAAAAAATGGCTTTAAAATATAGAGACTTATGTATTTTAGACAAGTTGGAAGGAAGATGAAAAGTATGAAGCTTGAAATGAACATGGTATTTGGGGGAAAGTTTATTTTGAATACAGTGGTAGTGGTGGTGCTTGCTGGAATAGGTGACAGATAGGATATAAGAATTGAAGAAGAAGAAGGAAGAAGAAATCCAATATAATTCATAAGTTTTGAGTGTACAGGATCAGGAGAGCTATTGTCAGGATTTGGTTAAGGTGAAAGAATTTCATCTTTAATGAGGAAGCACATTCATGTGAAAACAGTAGCATATGCCAGGCTCAGAATCAGATCTACTCAGGGTATGGTGAGTGAAACAACTGTGATGCTCTTAAAACCATTCCTTACCTGTATAAAAGTATTTTTCTATTTTCCTTTTTAGGAAAGAAAAACTTAACATTATTAAGGAAAAAAATAGACTCAGATTGTTATCCTTGTAAAAGAGGGCTTGGTTTAATTTGATTCATTCTTATTTCTGACTTTTTCCTGTTCTGTATCATATGAGTTCTGACATCTGGTTTGCTCTGGACAATCTCACTCTGAAGGCTCTAACAACCTCCCAAGCTATGCTACATTTTCTTTCCCACCTAATGGCCACCTAATGTGAATAGGAGGTCTTTGTTTAGTGGAACAGATTCCCCATTGCCCTATCTTCTCTGAAAAAGGTAGACCTTTACCTTTGAAACTATGCCACAATGCTGAGTTAGGACAAAAAGATTCATTCGTGCAAAATGCATTTCAAATTATTGTAAATTCCTAAAATGAGATCCCAGCCTGGGCAGAGGATTGTTATGGAAAGAGCTTGTCCTCCACCCAAATATTTTGGGAATTGTGCTTCCTTTAGATCTCTCAAAGGGTAGAGGGGCTTTTCTGGCTTGGGAGATAAAAATTTAAACCTATGCCTCAATGGGAAAAAAAATGGACTCTTGTAACATCTTGCAGCATTATTAAGATGAAACAAAGATCTAGATGGATAACTATGATTTGTTCTCACTCAGCTCTACATCACCATGATCCCTAAAGTCTCTTGCAGCTCAGAAACTCCATGAAGCTACCCTAAATATTTTTTCAAACATAGAAATCATCTTCTAGAAATGCCCAGCTGCTATAGGTAACCTTTTCTAGTGATCTGATAAATAGGTCCTTTGTCCTTAAATTTTAAATTCCAGTTTAGAAATCCATGCATGTGGTTCAGAATCTTACATTTATTAAAATGGAAACTGCTTGGAAGTGGCTTTTACCTAAGGAATATGGCATGCATATGTCCATGTTACTGACTTCCTGCCAAAATACTGCGTTGTTAGGCACTCTCCTGTGCATTCTCTATTGCTTACATTTTGTCAGACATTTCTTTGTGAATGCAAAGAATACGAGACCAGTACCTAGCCTCCTGTACTGCTTATCCTAGGTTTCCACAAAACTCACTTCGAATTCTTGAGTACTTTGCAGTCAACAGTTAGCATTACCTGAGGCTTTGCCTGAATCTTTCCTCAGTGTCACTTTTAGTCTTGCATAAAGTTTCAGATGTCCTTGGTTCTATTTAGGCTGTGCAAATAGACATCTATGGGGTTTGGTTCTGATTGATGGTTCCTAGTCACAGGGTACCTTACTCACTGGTGAGTTATTCAAACCTCAAAAGTCACACCTGTGTCCTGTGCACGGGTGCTACAGGCTTAGGTGGAGAAAAGCAGGGCTAGAATTGGAACCCAAAGCCCAGAATGGCAGGAGAGGATGTGGGGGCTCCACCCGATCACCTCTGGGTTCACCAAGAGGGTATCTACCGCGACGAATACCAGCGCACATGGGTGGCCGTTGTGGAAGAGGTAACTTTTCATTTTGCTTATTTCTTTGATTTTGCTTTCAAGTAACTTGGTTTCTAACCAATCTCAATATTCTGAAATATTTGTGTGTGTGTGTGTGTGTTTTTTTTTTTTAATCATTCCCTTCCATTAGGAGACAAGTTTCCTAAGGGCACGAGTCCAGCAAATTCAGGTTCCCTTAGGTAATGCAACTAGGCCAAGTCATCTTCTAACCTCCCAGCTACCTCTCATGTGGCAACTCTACCCTGAGGAGCGCTACATGGATAACAACTCTCGCTTGTGGCAGATACAGCATCATTTAATGGTACACATATTGCTTAGTCATTTCCCATTGTATTAGAACTCTCATAATAGAGTACTCTATAAACTTTTCTTTTCCTGACAGGTCAGGGGAGTACAGGAGCTGTTGCTTAAGCTTTTGCCTGATGATTAATCCGGTATGTATTTCTATTTCTCCCCCTTCCTCCCCTTCTTTGTTTTCACTCTATTCCGTTGTGGTGATTTTAATGATTTTTTTTTCCAGGTGCTGGGATTCTAGGAAGATATGCTCCTCTGTTCTGTTCAGTATATGGCAATCACTTCATCCACCACTGCAGTGCACCCACCCTTGGGCCCAGGGGGGAGGGCATGGGTTGAAAAACTCATCAAGAACACAGAAGTTTAGGAAGGGTTATGAAGAATACTGCAAGTGACACTGCAGAGAGAGGGTTATGCAGGCACAAAGTGAGTCAACAAAAGCATTTAGTAAGGATACATAACTTGAAATTGACTCCTTTGGAAATTGCCATAGAACCTTTAATGGACATCATCGGCTGGAACTGGGATCTGATGAATCCCACAAAAATCAGCACGTGCTACAGAACAGATGCCCTGATCACCAAGGACTTGGTACTGATTTAGAGAGAAGAGAGCAGCTCCTAGCAGCATCAACATCTATTTGTCGCTTATTTGCCCTGCAGCACATTCACCTGCCTTTCCTTCTCCCATCCTGTAAATATCCTAGGTTTTGCTCTGGTGTTTCCCATCCCAGTACTGACCTAATTTGTATCTATTGAGAACTTAGGGGATTCTGAAAAAAAAATATTTGCATTGATGAAATTAGCTACAAAGGCTTTTAGGCCTTTATTCTTTCTGAAATTGTGTCTTCCAATTATTAGAAGTTGCACATCAAAATTGTAGGCACTAAAATTCCTTCTTTGGTTACATATTTTAAATAAGCTGATTTCCATAAGAGCTCCACAAACTCATTGTAGCTGCTTAAGCAATAAGCACCTTTCTCAGGACATAGTAGACAAACATTGCTGATTTCTAGGAAAGGACTTACCACCTATAAAGAATTTCTTGAGTCAAAGTAGTTATAACAGTTTATATACATTAAAATATGTTTTTTTAAAGCATTGGGCTGGGTGCAGTGGCATGCGCCTATAATCATAGCTCCTGGGCAGGTTGAGGGCAGGTTGAATTCAGGAGTTCCAGACCAACCTCAGCAATATAGCAAGGCCCTGTCTCAAAAAAAAAAAAAAAAAAAAAAGCGTCTTGGTAATGATAATCACCATGTTTTGAATCTTTACTTACTGCCTTCTAGACACTATTCTATACATTTTATATCTTTATCACATTTAGTTCTTCCATCAATCCTTTGAGGTAGGTATGATCTCATTTTACACATGAGTAGTAAGGAAAAAGGCTGAGGAAATTTAATCATTTATTAAGGGTTTTCTCTCTGAATGATACAAATGGGCAGCTGTCTAGGCCCATTGACCTGCAGCATCAGTTCCTCTGGCCCAACATTGGTTTACGATATGCAGGACAAGTACATTGAATTTAAGGATTTTTTTTCCCATGTAAAGCTATTTATTCTAACCTTAAAGAACTGGATATTATAAAATACAGTTGGTTCATCCTACACGGGAAGAGTATTTATAGTGTAATTTTTAATTGTCTCTGAAGAAAATTCCATGTAAGGAGCTTTATTTATGAGTAAAAAAGCAAAATAAAAATCATTTTTCTTGTTTTAGTTTTCTGGATATGCCGCAAAAGGATCCGTGCCAGAAACAAGCCTGTGAAATACAGAAATGTTTACAAGGTAGTATGTAAAATGCTTTTAAGATATTTTTTACTTTATCTGTAAACTGTAAGAGACCAATTATTCTTTTATACAAAAAATAAAAAGTGATATGCTCTAAGTTAGGGGTGCTCAATCCTGATTGTACATTAGAATCATCTGGAGAGCTTTAACGACTTGCCTAGAACAATTAAATCAGAATTCCTGGAGCTACGGTCTGAACATGAATCATTCTGGAGAGTTAAGCAGATTTTGTTTTGTTTTGTTTTGTTTTAAACAACGGATTAAACCCAGAGGTGCTTAACTATTGAGGCACATCCCCAGCCCTTTGTATTTTTTATTTTGAGATAGGGTCTTGCTGAACTGCTGAGAGCCTTGCAAGTTGCTGATGCTGACTTGAACCTGTGATGCTCTTACCTCAGTCTCCTGAGCCACTGAGATTATAGGTATGCACCACCATGTCCTGCATGAGATGATTTTAATGCACAGCCAGAGTTGAGAATTCCTGAGCTGAGCAAAGTTCTTTTTATTTTGTTTTTTTCCACATAAATTTTGAGGGAATTTTAAACACATGGCAACAAGAATACATACAGATGGCTGGGCGCAGTGGTGCATACCTCCAATCCTATTGATTAGGAGGCTGAGGAAGGAGGATGGAGAGTTCAAGGCCAGCGTCAGCAACTTAGCAAGACTCTGTCTCAAAAAACAGAAAAAAGAGATAGGGATGTAGCTCAGTGGTAGAGCACCCTTGGGTTCAGTCCCCAGCACTGAAAAAAAAAAAAAGCCAAATAGATAATTAAAATGAAAAATTTTGGCTAAAAGAAAAATAGTGAATTTGAGTAAAACTTAGACAAAAAATGGCTGTGAATAAAAAATTCCTGGGAAGTAGTTCCCTACAATTAACACATGTCTATTATTCTAAAGAGCCAGTTTTTGCTTTTTTAAAAATATTTATGTTTTAGTTTTAGGTGGACACAATATCTTTATTTTACATTTATGTGGTGCTGAGGATTGAACCTAGTGCCTCGTACATGCTAGGCAAGCGCTCTACCACTGAGCCACAACCCTAGCCCCTCCCAAGAGCCAGTTTTTTCTCATCAAAATCTTACATATAGAGGCTGGGGCTGTAGCTCAGTAGTAGAACACTTGCTTAGCTTGCGTGAAGCACTGGGTTCAATCTTCAGCACCATATAAAAATAAATAAATGTACTGTGCCCATCTATAACTAAAAATAAATTTTCAAAAAAATATTTAAAAAAATCTTGCATACATAATATTTGCCAGATTTTATCAAATGTTGCTTTTCAAATAATACTGGATAATATGAGTAAATTTTACAACATATCTTTATATATACACAAACACACACATATATATATATATATATTTACATTGCTGCTTTGTTTATAATAGTGATGAACAGAATCATATCATGCAATGATTACACAATTAAAGGTTATAAACCAATTTTTGAACCCCTTAAAATCCCCAATAAACAAAAAGTGTGATGATTATGTAGTGGTGATGATCACATGCTTAAATGTGGTAGGTTTTGGTCTAGATCTCATTCTTTTACCAAACTGTTCCTAGAGGGGTGGTGATTATAGTGTTCTGTTTCTAATTTAAAATAAGATCTAGTACAGTATTTTACATTTGATAAATTACATACAAAGTATTTTTATTTTTCTAAAGATAACCATTTAGCTCATTAAAACATTTGTTTTTGCTACTAGTTATATAGTATTTCTAATAGGACCTAGAAAGGAGTCTTCCAAACAGTTTTTTTAAAATGTTTATTTTTTATTTGTAGTTGGACACAGTACCTTTATTTTATTTTTATGTAGTGCTGAGGATTGAACCCAGGGCCTCGCACATGCTACGTGAGTGCTCTACCAATGAGCCACAACCCCACCCCACAAATATTTTTTTTTGTTTTAATTAGTTATACAAGCAATATTTATTGGTGCTTGTATTCTTGATAACTGCCATTCTGACAGTGAGATGAAATCTTATTTTTTTAGTAGAATATATTTTGACACATTATATATAAATGGAGTATAATTTCTCATTTTTCTGGTTGTATGTGATGTAGAATCACATGTCCTTATGTACATAGGACATAATGTAATAATATGTAATGTAATGTAATAATGTCAGATTCATTCTACTATCCTTCCTACCCCCAAACACCTCCCCTCTCTTCAGTCCCTTCTACCTAATCCAAAGTAATTGTATTCTTTCCTAGCTACTCCCCACCTTGAATTATCATCCACATATCAGAGAAAACATTCAGCCTTTGGTTTGGGGGGACTGGCTTATTTCGCTTAGCATGATATTCTCTAGTTTTATCCATTTACTGGCAAATGCCATAATTTCATTATTGTTTGAGGGTGAGTAATATTCCATTGTGTATATATACCATATTTTCTTTATTCATTCATCTGTTGAAGGAGATCTAGGTTGGTTCCATATTTTAGCTATTGTGACTTGAACTGATATAAACATTGATGTGGCTGCATCACTTTAGTATGATGATTTTAAGTCCTTTGGGTATAAACTGAGGAGTGGGATAGCTGGGTCAAATGGTGGTTCCATTCCCAGTTTTCTGAGGAAATCTCGATACTGCTTTCCATAGTGGTTGCCCCAATTTGCAGTCCCACCAACAATGTATAAGTGTACCTTTTCCCCCACATCCTTGCCAACATTTATTGTTGATTGTATTCTTTTTTTTATTAAATTTTTTTTAAGAGAGAAGGGGAGAGAGAGAGAGAGAGAGAGAATTTTTTAATATTTATTTTTTAGTTTTCGGCAGACACAACATCTTTGTTTGTATGTGGTGCTGAGGATCAAACCTGGGCCCCACGCATGCCAGGTGAGCGTGCTACCGCTTGAGCCACATCCCCAGCCCTTGCTTGTATTCTTGATAACTGCCATTTTGACAGTGAGATGAAATCTTATTTTTTAATTGCATGCACGTTTTAAGTCATAATCCTTTTTATACTATTATTTTATTTTTAAGTGGTGCTGAGGATTGAACCCAGTATCTTGCACATGCTAGGTGAGCATTCTACCACTGAGCCACAACTGCAGCCCGTGAGATGGAATCTTAGAGTAGTTTTGATTTGCATTTCTCTAACTGCTAGAGATGTTAAACATTTTTTCACATGTTTGTTGGTCAGTTGTATATCTTCTTCTGTGAAGTGTCTGTTCAGTTCATTGGCCCATTTATTGATTGTTGTTTTTTTATTTTTTTGGTGTTAAGTTTTTTGAGTTCTTTATATATCGAGATTTGTGCTCTATCTGAGGTACATGTGGTAAAGATTTTCTCCCATTTTGTAGGCTCTCTCTTCACATTATTGTTTCTTTTGCTGAGAACAATCTTTTTTAGTTTGAATTCATCCCATTTATGATTTTTGATCTTCTTTTGCTTTAGGAGTCTTATTAAGGAAGTCAAAACTTAGGCTGACATGGTGAGGATTTGGGCCTACTTTTTCTTCTATTGCACACAGGTTCTCTGTTCTAGTGCCTAAATCTTTGATCCACTTTGAGTTGAATTTCATGCAGGGTAAGAGATCAGGGTTTAATTTCATTTTGTTAGCACCATTTGTTGAAGAGGCCATCTTCTCACCAATAAATGTTTATGGTGCCTTTGTCTAGTGTGAGATAACTGTATTTATGTGGGTTTGTCTTTGTGTCTTCTATTCTGTACCATTGGTCTACGTGTTTGTTTTGTGCCAATACCATGCTATTTTTGTTACTATACCTCTGTAGTATAGTTTAATGTCTGATATTGTGATGCCTCCTGCTTCACTCTTCTTGCTAAGGATTGCTTTGGCTATTCTGGGTCTCTTATTTTTCCATATAAGTTTCATGATTGTTTTTTTCTAGTTCTATGAAGAATGTCATTGTAGTATAGTTGGCATTTTAATACGAATTGCATTAAATCTATATAGCACTTTTGGTAGTATGGCCATTTTGACAAGATTAATTCTGCCTATCCAGGAGCATGGGAGATCTTTCCCTCTTCTAAGGTCTTCCTCAATTTTTTTTTAGTGTTCTTACTATTTTTTAAAGCATGCTCCTTGATTAATATATCTAAAAACACAAAAATATTCTAATTTTTAATTTTCATTAAAAAAACCATTTTATTAGTACGTTATAATTATACATATTAGTGGGATCATTGTGAGATGTTCACTCATGTATATAACATAATTTATTCAACTCTGTTCCCTAACAATTGCCCTTTTTATCCCTTCTTCGATATCCTGGTCCCCTTTTTCTTTTCTAATGGTCTCCCTTCTGTTTTCATGAGATCCCCTTTTTAATTCCTGTTTTCTCTCTAGCTTCTGCATATTATCTACTCTTGACTCTCTGAGTTTGACTTATTCACTTACTACGATGTGTTCCAGTTTCATCCATTTACCAGCAAATGACATAATTTACTCTTCTTTTTAAATTTTTTTTAAAATTGTTGACAGACCTTTATTTATTTGTATGTGGTGCTGAGAATCAAACACAGTGCCTCACACAAGCCAGGCAAGTACACTACTGCTGAGCCCCAGCCCCAGCCCAATTTCACTCTTCTTTATGTCTGACTCAAACTCCATTGTATATGTATACCATATTCTCTTTATCCATACATCTGTTGACAGACACCTAGGCTGCTTGTATATTGATATAATATGCTGAATTTAGTTCTTTCAGAATGGTATGGCTGGGTCATGTAGTGCTTCCATTTCTAGTCTTTTGAAGAACCTCCTACTGATTTCCATAGTGGTTGTACTAATTTACAGTCTCATCAACAGTGAATGAGTATTCCTTTTACCCTGCATCCTTACCAGCATTTATTACTTTTTGTATTTTTTATATTCTTAATGAATGCTATTTTAATGGAAGTGAGATGAAATCTCAGTGTAGATTGGATTTGCAATTTCCTTATTTCTAAAGATGTTGAACATTTTTTCTTATTTGTTGACCATTTGTATTTTTTTCTTTTGCAGAATGTCTATTTAATTCAT